GTGGAACCTCACTCTGTTGCCCAGTCTGGAGTGCAATAGTGTGATGTCAGCTCACTATAACCTCTGCCTCCAGGTTCAAGCTATTCTCCTGCCTCAGCCTCCCGAGTAGCTGGGATTACGGGCGTGTGCCACCACGCCCAGCTAATTTTTATATTTTTTAGTAGAGACAGGGTCTCACCATGTTGGCCAGGCTGGCCTTGAACTCCTGACCTCAGGTGATCCACCCACCTCAACCTCCCAAAGTGCTGGAATTACAGGCATGAGCCGCTGCACCCGGCTGTATTTTTTTTTTTTTTCCTCTTGATATGGAGTTTCACTCTTGTTACCCAGGCTGGAGTGCAATGGCACGATATCGGCTCACCGCAACCTCCACCTCCTGGGTTCAAGCAATTCTCCTGCCTCAGCCTCCCAAGTAGCTGGCACTGCAGGCGAACGCCACCACGCCCAGCTAATTTTTGCATTTTTAGTAGAGACGGCGTTTCACCATGTTGACCAGATGGTCTCGATCTCTTGACCTCACGATCCACCCACCTCGGCTTCCCAAAGTGCTGGGATTATAGGCGTGAGCCACCGCGCCCGGCCTCGGCCATATTTTAACAATTTGTTTTATACTTAATGCCTGCTTTGTAAATTCATCATGATGTTTCTTTTGCTCTAAATTGATCTTTCTGCACTTCCAAGGTATTCTATAGCAGGGAAAGAAGAGTAGCTAGTTACTGTCTGACCTTACAAACAGGATTCTCCTTCAGATTCCTAAAGTTCTGCCAAAACACTTCATGGTTTTTTTGACAGAGTATTTTATTGTATTTTATTTTTTGAGACAAAGTCTCATTTTGTCACCCAGGCTGGAATGCAGTGGCATGATCTCAGCTCACTACAACCTCCGCTCCCTGGGTTCAAGCAATTCTCCTGCTTCAGCCTCCTGAGTAGCTAGGACTACAGGCACGTGCCACCATGGCCAGCTAATTTTTGTATTTTTAGTAGTGATGGGGTTCACCATGTTTGCCAGGCTGGTCTCCGCCTGCCTCAGCCTTCCAAAGTGCTGGGCTTATGGGCATGAGCCACTGCTCCTGGCCTAACAAATGTTCTTTCCTGGAAAAGGTGAACTTTCCTAAAATTGTATGAAAGCAATAGTCAAAAAAGCAGTAGAATATTTTTTTGCACAGGGTGTTATTGCTACCAGGACCTTCTTTTCAGTAGCCTTGGTCTTTTCAAGATCTCACAGTAATTGAAAAGATGAAGATTCATGGGAAATGTTACTGGTGATTTCATGCTTTACAGCTGGATGATGGGTTTCAGAGGAATGGATATCTCATCTACCTCAAAGAAAGCGCATTCTAAACCAGACTTACATGAGAGAAAGATAACTTTTCTTCCCATTTTTCCAGATTTTATTAGAGACAGCTGGGCACAGTGGCTCACACCTGTAATCTCAGCACTTTGGGAGGCCAGGGTGGGTAAATTACCTAAGGTCAGGAGTTTGAGACCAGCCTGGCCGACATGTTGAAACCCCGTCTCTAATAAAAATACAAAAATTAGCTGGGCATGGTGGCGTGCACCTGTAATCCCAGCTACTCAGGAGGCTCAGGCAGGAGCGTCATTTGAACCCAGGAGGCAGAGGTTGCACTGACCCAAGAAGATCACACATATTGTGCTACTGCACTCCAACTTGGGTGACAGAACGAGAATCTGTCTCCAAAAAAAAAAGATTTTATTGGAGAAGATTTTGAAACTGCACAAAAAACAAGAAGAAGAAAGAAATTGCTCGTACTCTCTTTATATCCATAAGCAAAAAACATAAAAGGCCGTCCCTGGCAAATATAAAGGCTTATTAACTGTTAGTATGTACAGTATAACCCTAATTTAAGATATATTTTAAGACCATCTGCCTGTTCACAGAAAAAGAATAAGTGGAAGCTGTAGGCCAAGTATTAATAATGATTATCTCTGGGTAGAGGAATTTTCAGTGGTTTTTATTTACTTTGTATTTTTATGTATTTTTCAAATTTTTATCAAATGAAATCGAGAAGGAAAAAGCAGATTTGTGTGTTGTAATGCTTTTTCTATTTCCGCTCCTCCCTAAGCTGACTAGAAAAGCCTATAAAACAATGCTGAGACTACAGGGAGAATGTGTGCCAAAATAGACTTACTCTATTGTGAATAATTTATATTTTGTAATCCAAGGAAAGGAAGAAGGGAATATACATATAGGGGATACACATCTGGTGTTATGCCCAGCACTTCATACATGTTATTTAATCCTTATAAGAATATCATGAGACAGGTATTATTGCTCCGCTCTTTTTTTTTGAGACAGTCTCGCTGTTGTCAGCCTGGGGTGGAATGCAATGGCCCCATCTCAGCCCCCTGCAACCTTCACCCCCCAGGTTCTAGCAATTCTCCTGCCTCAGCCTCCCAAGTAGCTGAGATTACAGGCGCCCACCACCATGCATGGCTAATTTTTGTATTTTTAATAGAGACAGGATTTCACCATGTTGGCCAGGCTGGTCTCGAACTCCTGACCTCAGGTGATTCACCTACCTTGGTCTCCCAAAGTGCTGGGATTACAGGTGTGAGCCGTCGTGCCCGGCCTGCTCTACTCATTTTATAGAAAAGGAAACAGAGGCTTAGGGAAGAGAAGGAACTTGTTATAAGTCACACCAATAGCAGGGCTGGGATTAAAACCTAGGTCTTTCTACTCCCCAACCACCCTGCCTCAAACACCTGTGAGGGATTGAGGGAAAAATTGCTTAGGAACTAGGGAATCTGATCCATGAACACAAGTACTAAAATTTGTGTTTACCTTTTTTTTTTTTTTTTTTTTTTTTTTTTTTTTTTTTTTTTTTTTTTTTTTTTTTTTTTTTTTCTTGAGACAGAGTCTTGCTCTGTTACCCAGGCTGGAGTACAGTGGTACAATCAGGGCTTACTGTAGCCTCCACCTCCAGGACTCAAGAATCCTTCTACCTCAGCCTCCTAAGTAGCTGTGGTACTATAGCCATGTGCCACTATGCCTGGCTAATTTTTTATTTTATTTTTAAGCTAATTTTTTGTTTTATTTTTTGTAGGTATGGGGTTTCACCAGTTGCCCAGGCTGGTCTCGAATTCTTGTGCTCAAGCAATCCACCCGCCTCGGCCTCCCAAAGTGCTGGGATTACATGCATTAACTACTGCTCCTGGCCCAATATTTATTTTTAATGGAAGACTGAAATTATACATTTATTTTCTATCATTAGCTATCTAGGAGAAATAAAGCACAAATAAGAATTGTAATCCTAGTTAAGACAGGAATACCTTGGTTAATTGAAGAGAAACAGCTCAGGTATTAGCTGTATTCTGTAGGGTTCACGAGAAATTAAGAGCCCAGTGGTGAGAGGCCCCAAGGTTGTGGGGTTAGAGCATCCATCTTTGGAGATTACCAAAGCTATTTTTGCAGCCAGTGATAAGGCTGTAGGCAGCAAGAGCAGGCAGGATGCCTGAAGGCTTAGTCCATTTTCATCTCCAAATAAGGAGGTGCAGAGCCAGATACCTTTCTTGAGTAGGTAGTAGGGGTTGGGGAGGAGATGAAACAAAGTACTCTGTCAGCCTCATTCAAATTCCACATAATCTGAAATTATGCTTTGGAGGAGAAGTATCCAGTTACATTGAACCACTACCTTTCTAATAATTGGAGAGTCTGCTACCTAGTTTTATTTCATATTAAAGTTCCAAGGGTGATTTTATTTTAAAGAGAGTCGGAAGACTAAAGAAAGTGACATAATCCTTCAGGTAGAGCATGAGGCTGGACTGAGAGTTCTAATTCTCCTGCCCCACTGTGGTTATCAGCAGGTCACTTAGCTTTTCAGTTGTTTGTTTCCTCTACCTGTAAAATAAGGATAACTATTTCACAGAGATATTTTGAGAGTTGTCATTAAAAGGAAAGCATTCTGGATGAAGGTACTCTTAAGTCAGCAGTCCCCAACCTTTTTGGCACCAGGGACCAGTTTCCACAGACAGGGAGCAGTGGAGTGGTGGATAGATTCGTGATGAAACTGTTTCACCTCAGATCATCAGGCATTAGTTAGATTCTCATAAAGAACATGCAACCTTGATCCCTCGCATGTGCAGTTCACAATAGGGTTTGCTCCTGTGAGAATCTAATGCTGCCGCTGATCTGACAGGAGGCTTTTAGGCAGTAATGCTTTCCCACCCCTCACCTCCTGCTCTGCTGCCCAGCTTCTAACAGGCCACTGACCGGTACCCACTGGGGACCACGGCTCTAAGTAGTTGATCTCTGCAACCCATTTTGGGAGAGGATTTGCCTTATTGAAGAAGGCAGGATCATTCTTTCTTCCCATTTTCTAGAACCACAACAATGACTTATCAGCATAAGGTGGCATTTTAAACCACAGAAGATTTTAGTTCCAAGGTAGGTCATACTACTGGTCTACCCAGCTGGGCATTCTAGCTCAGTAAGTGATACTCAGGGATACTTAAAGAGAAAAAGTATGGATATGGTGCTCCATTAAAGTATTGCACTCAGTATACCCAAATTATCTTTGCTCCCTCATGATCTATATACATTAATGTATTTAAGGACTTTACACATATATAACCTCTTCAGAGTAATAACTTCTAACATGTTTAAATTCTGTACATTCTAAAAATAAACTAATACACTTTTTAAAATATAATTTTATTTTGCCATGCTTCCACAATTTGAATTTGAGGGTAACAGAGGCAAAGTTTGCTAGATTGGAAACCTTATCAAATGGTACATTCATTAACTTAGTCAAATTTCTGCTTAAGAAAAATCATAATTTCTTTCTTCTCAGACCAACTGAACGTGAACGAACAGAAAGGCTAATTAAAACCAAATTAAGGGAGATCATGATGCAGAAGGATTTGGAGAATATTACATCCAAAGAGGTAAGAGACCTTGATTCCTCATTTGTTCCAAGACTAGCAGTGGGATAACAATAGGTGTGGGGCTAGAAACAGTGCATGGTTGAAAGTACAGAGGGACTTTAAGAGATGAGTACAATATGTCATCTTTGTTTCAGATAAGAACAGAGTTGGAAATGCAAATGGTGTGCAACTTGCGGGAATTCAAGGAATTTATAGACAATGAAATGATAGTGATCCTTGGTCAAATGGATAGCCCTACACAGATATTCGAGCATGTGTTTTTGGTAAGTTTTAAGGCCACTTTTAAGTGGTGTACTGAAGCTAGCCTATATGGACTCATGGGTGGGAGCAATTGTTAAATTTTATTATACATGAATAAAATGTAACTTACATTAAAGACAAAAGTACTTAAACCCAAACCTCATCAATTATCTTATTGTGTGTGTGTGTGTGTGTGTGTGTGTGTGTGTGACAGAGTCTCACTGTCACCCAGACTGGAGTGTGATGGTACAATCTTGGCTCACTGCAACCTCCTTTTCCTCGGTTCAAGCAATTCTCCTGCCTCAGCCTCCAGAGTAGCTGGGACTACAGGTGCACACCACCACACCTGGCTAATTTTTGTATTTTCAGTAGAGAGGAGGTTTTCCATCTTGGCCACATTGGTCTTGAACTCCTGACCTCAGGTGATCCGCCTGCCTCACCCTCCCAAAGTGCCATGATTACAGGTGTGAGCCACCATGCCCGACCCTCATTTTTATTTTCATTTTTATTTTTATTTTTGAAACAGGGTCTCTCTCTGTTGTGCATGGTAGAGTGTAGTGGCACAACCTCAGCTCAATGCAGCCTCAACCTCCCAGGCTCAAGTGATCCTCCCTCTTCAGCTTCCTAAGTAGCTGGGACCACAAGCATGTGCCACCCCCAGCTAATTTTTGTATTTTTTTGTGGAGATGGGGTTTTACCATGTTACCCAGGCTAGTCTCGAACTCCTGAGCTCAAGCAATCTGCCCACCTCGGCCTTCCCAAAGTGCTGGGATTACAGGCATGAGCCATTGCACCTGGCACCAAATTAGTCTTATATAGATGATCCTTAGGCCGGGTGCGGTGGCTCAAGCCTGTAATCCCAGCACTTTGGGAGGCCGAGGCGGGTGGATCACG